GTAACCTCTATAAATTGTGAGGTTTTTGTCAGAATACTGGTTTAAGAATTCAGTGACTTCAAGTATTTTGTACCACAGGTTCCTGGGATCGCTTGGGTATCCAGAGTTTATGGTATCTGTTAAACTGGTAGAGCTGAGGACATTTAGCAACTTTCAGGGACTTGAGACCTTTCTCATAGAGCTGGAACATGAAGCAGAGAGCAAGGGGTTCTCTCTGAGAGTGCAGGAGGTCAGTGAAAACAGCAACAAGGTACTCCACAATGTGTGCTCCTAGAAAAGCAAAAATAAACAAAACTATTGACTTGAGCACAGACACTGGGGCAACTTTCCTTACTTCAGGCCTTGGCAGCAGCCCACAGAGCATCACACAGAATAGTATCGAATAAGATCAAAAAGTGTTTGCAGTGACCGAGACAAGTGCTCCTGACCATTGAGGTACCTGAAAAATCCTCCACACATTAGTTCTTGCTGAAGCAAATGATCCACCTTCACTGTGTTGTGCTAAACGTTCCTATATTTTAACAGGAAGCACCACCTCAGAGAAGAACTGATTTGTACTGGGGGGCACACACCCCAGTTAACGTGTACAAGTTAAATAAAATTTCCTTTCAGAACTGGGACTTTCGGTACACCCCAGGTGCTACTTGACTGCCAAATACACACAGAGGACTTAGTGAGGTGCTGTGGGGTTGGCAAATCCTGCTCCAAGCCCACCTGATGCCCTGTGATTTTAACACTTTCCTCAAGGAGGTGGTAGAACTTTCCAGTATTTGCCACCAGAGCTTCATTTCTCAAGTTTTCTTTGGAAAATGCATCCATTTCCTACTTAACAATGCAGTCCTCTCTCCCTGATCTCGGGAAGAGCTGCCTACAGACATGGAAACCACCTTCCTCTCCTGATCTCCACACTCTGTCCTTAAAACACTGTGTTACTGAAGCCAACTACTTCCAGACCAAGACTGTCCATGCAGGGACAGTGACTCTTCTCTTCAGGGTCAGGGAAAAAGGGCAGAAGCACCTGCAGAACCTCAATGCCCCTCTTGAGCACGAAACACCATGCACCTCCTTCTGCTTGCACGGAAGACAATAAAATTTCTCAAGGTAAAAAATGATAAATGGTAAGAAATTATTAAAAATGGATTAAAATTATGGCACTTTCACTCCTCCGGTAGAAATGTCACATAAAACCAAAAAAATCTGTACCTGTTCCATGTTCAGACTGAAGCAACAGTATATTCCTGGCTTCTAATGCAGCAGGGACAACAGCACTGAAAGGAAATGTTTGGATAATCATGTCTTCATTTAAAGAGAACCCAATTTCTTCATCGAAGCCATCACTGCCCTCGATCAGAACATCCACCATATCCAGGACATCTAATAAGTGAAGGAAAAAATGTAAGCAGGGGATCCAGACTAACTGGAAAAACAACAGAGGTAGAATGCAACATTCCAGGAACACAAGGCATCTTTTTAGTTCCTTAAAAAAAAAAAACCAAAAAAAACCCAAAAAAAACACCACATTTGTCAGGCCATACAATGTTAAGTGCAACACAAAAACCACAGCTGTACTTCACTGTGCCTTTCAGTGCTGCTGTCCAGCACAGGTTGCCCAGAGAAGCTGTGGCTGCCCCGGGATCCCTGGAAGTGTCCAAAATCAAGCTGGACAGGGCTTGGAGCATCCTGGGCTACTGAAGAGTGTGCCTGCCCACGGCAGGGGTTGGAACTGGATGAGCTTTAAAAGGTGCCTTCCCATCCAAACCATTCTGGGATTCCAGGATTCTATGAACAGCCCCAAGCAGAAGGACGAAATTTCCATTTTAGTTTGAAAATGCTGCTGCAAGAGCATGAAGAGAGATGTCAAATACTGTTAAAGTGGCACAACCACATCAAAAATTACATTTGGGGGTAAAGTGGTAACTTTGCAATTCCAACTTCCGATAGCAAGTACACGTGGAGGGCTGAATCCTGGAGGTCCTTACATAACACGATTTCTATAGTTATCCATCCCCAGTCTGCTGATTAGGGCTAGAAAATGTAGCCCCAAGTTGTGGAATTCTGTTGTTCAGGGGTTACCATATACCATCAATGTGAGAGACAGGGATGCTGATGTTATCAGAGTCCTGTTTAAACATAGCAACCTGGAGCATGCTGGCTTCCTGAACCACGTCTGCTGCCTTGTCTGTGTAGGGATAGGGCTTTGTCACCAGCTTCAGAAGGATCTGTCAGCAAAGGTGGGGAGAAAAGTAAGTGCACCAGCTGTCAAGTGCAGGGGAACCATCTGTTGCTAAGAAAGACCATGTGCTAGAAGTGGTTGGAAGCTGGGCAGGTTTTAGGAGGACAAGTTCCATATTACTTCTGCAGGATTCCGTCCACGATTCCTGCTCTACAGGGGACACTGATGGAAAAGATAAATGTCCACTGCAATTTGGCATCTAGATTGCTACCACAGACTGAGTCCCTGGGAAGACCGCACTGGAAATGAAGCACTGGGCATTCAACATCCTGAAGAGTAAACAGGAAGTGTCAGCTTTCCTTGTAAAAGATCACATTTTACTGAGGTCTGATAATTTTGGCACCTAAAGAGGAGATAAAAGCTATCCACACATACAACACTCTATCCTTATACCAACAATAAATGCTGTCATAACAACGGATCTTTTTGGATTTAATTTTCCCACTCATCATTTTGCTGTCCCTCCCACTGAAGACAAGAACAATGCCACCTTTGTATAAAGAATCCCAAACAATGCTTTTCTCAGAATTCACTCACTGCTATTTGACAGGTTTCTCAACAATAGCAACAAAATCTCTAGTTTCCACTAACACTGTTCTTTGCGTTGTTTATCCAGCTAATTTGAACACGGTTACCCTTTCCAAAAACTGAATCACTGCTTCCTTCTGGTCTTCTTTTGTATTATCCAAGTGTTCCAGCCAAATTGAAAGTTCCTTCCATGTGTACTCAAACACTCCACTGTCACGCAAAACCTGTCCAGGAAACAAAGGGGGAGGTGTGTAAATAAAACCTCAAAACACCTAAAGTACAAAACCCCAAGAGATACAGATCTTTTTGCATAGTAACTTCATGATTCCTTCTTTTGGGAAAGCAAAGAAGAAGAGCAGGTTGATGAAAAGAATGATCTGTCACTCTCCCCACCCCCCTCAGTTCAAGAGGCCTTACTCCCACTCAC